CTCCAGTTAAAGAAAAGATCTGGCAGTAGGGGGAGATCAGTTCCGCTGGAGAAAACAGCTGCTTTGGAGGGTGGACTCTATGGCAATGCCAAGGTGTTTTCCCTCCCCAGACTCCGCCCCCAAATTTCCAGGAATTTCCCAACCCGGAGTCAATGTTCCCTCTAAGCTGTGGAGTCTTGTGAGCAAGCATTCTGCTTTTGTGAGCTCCTGGCATTAAAGTGGTGAGCGAGCGATGTGGCTGCTGCGTGAATTAGTCTGCTCTGGAGCCCTCCTTCCTGAGCGGAGACGAAAATGTGTGAGCCGGAGGCTAAAAAACGGTGAGCTGGCTCACATTAACTCAGCTGAGAGGGAACACTGGGTCCCCAGCATCTCCACTTGAAAGGACCAAGCGTGAAAGACCTTTCTGCCCAAGACCCCGGAGAGCCACTGCTGGTCTGAGTAGACCATACGGACTTTGAAGGGCCAAGGGTCTGATTCGGTACAAGGCCGCCTTATATGTTCATATGTTCACGTTCTCCTAAAATCTGGCTGCCAAAACCCTAAGTGTGAGGCTTACTGTACTTTGTACAAGATGTTTACGTGAGGTGGTGAGCTCCCCCTCCCCGGCAGTCTTTAAGCAGCCGCTGGACAAACCCTTGTCAGGGTTGCTCTAGGCTGATCCTGCATTGAGCTGGAGGTTGGACTAGATGGCCTCTATGGCCCCTTCCCTTCCTGAGCGGAGACGAAAATGTGTGAGCCGGAGGCTAAAAAACGGTGAGCTGGCTCACACTAACTCAGCTGAGAGGGAACACTGACCCCCAGCATCTCCACTTGAAAGGACCAAGCGTGAAAGACCTTTCTGCCCAAGACCCCGGAGAGCCACTGCTGGTCTGAGTAGACAATACTGACTTTGAAGGGCCAAGGGTCTGATTCGGTACAAGGCCGCCTTATATGTTCATATGTTCACGTTCTCCTAAAATCTGGCTGCCAAAACCCTAAGTGTGAGGTCTCCTGTACTTTGTACAAGATGTTTACGTGAGGTGGTGAGCTCCCCCTCCCCGGCAGTCTTTAAGCAGCCGCTGGACAAACCCTTGTCAGGGTTGCTCTAGGCTGATCCTGCATTGAGCTGGGGGTTGGACTAGATGGCCTCTATGGCCCCCTTCCAACTCTGGGATTCGATGATTCAATGAAGCTGCCTTATGCTAAATCAGACCAATGGTCTGTCAAAGTCAGTAACAGCTACTCAGCCCGGCAGCGGCTGTCCAGGGTCTCCGAGGCCTTTCCCATCACCTCCTGCCTGGTCCTTTTAACTGGAGAATCCGGGGACTGAACCTGGGACCTCCTGCATGCCAACCAGAGGCTCTGCCACTGAGCCACAGCCCCGCCCATTGCACTGGACGGCTACTTATCTATTCACCTTTACTGTCTTGTGTAAAGAGAGACCACAAGATTGCCTTCCGTGTTGAGCACTTCATATGAATCTGCTGTTGGAGCCATCACATGTGATTGCTGCCGGTTCCGTGCCTTTTCCTGTAGTGCAGTAGAAGGACAGCAGTTATAATGAGATTCTGTGCTGTACTAGCGTTAAAGCAGAGACTTTGATGTCAAGGTGTGCAAGAGCTCAGTCTGGAATATAGGAGTCATCTCCGAGTATCTGAGTTAATTCCACTTTCCCTTTTCAGGTCACGTACGATGGATTTTTAGCACTGTGGCAATTAGACAGCTCTGATGCAGGTAAACAGGGAGGGGCGGAACCCAAAACTTGACTATCGCTTTGGTATTTTTAAAACCGTTAATCATTCAATTTGCGTGCGTTCCCGTTTTAGATACGAACGCCTCCCCGTCCGATGACACGGACTGGAGCCACGAGGGTTTACTCTCGGACTCTCCCGTCCCCGGAAGGCTGGCCTCTGCTTTCTGCAGGAGAACGTTTGAACGTGGGGAGAAGCAAAAGGAACACGCCCGCGAGCACACTTTCCCCGTGATCGTCCCTTTGGATGCAATTGACTATTCCCGGCCCTTTCTGGCCGGCCTGGCCGAGCACCTAACCCCCGGTCAGTTTCCCCGTTTCCAGTGTCCAAAGTGCCCCGCGAGCTTCACGCTCAAATCCAACATGGACCGGCACGAGAAGACCATCCACTTCAACCGGAAGAAGATGCAGTGCCCCCACTGCCTCAAGCTCTTCCGGGACAAGACGGACTTGAACCGGCACCTGATGTCGGTGCACTCCCGAGAACGCTCGTTCGCGTGTCTCTTCTGCGGGAAGGGCTTCGGCACCCAGAAGAACCTCGCCACTCATGTGAAAGTTTGCTACCTCAGTTCGGCACAGCCAGTAGCTGAAGAGCTTTTGAATGATCTCGGTCAGGACCAGGAATCTGAGGAGGAATAGGGCAGTCGGCAGCCTCTTTGACAGTGGGATCAGAATCCATAAGTGTTTGTGTCTGAGCACCTCGGCCACTTTATCCTGCTTTGACAGCGATCCCAGTCCTCAGGGCGATTGCTGGGCGGTGGGAAAGAGCCATAGGTTTGTATCCCATGGAGTCCGCACGCGAGGATGCGTTTCTTTCTTGTCCTCCACCTGGCAGTCCCTCGCACCTTCCAAAACACAGATGCTGGAGGTTGTGAGGCCAGTTTGGTGTAGTGGTTTAGAGCACAGAGAGAACCAGGTTTGATTCCCCACTCCTCCACATTCAGCTGCTGGTGTGACCTTGGGGCAGTCACAAGTTCTCTCAGAGCCGTTCTCTCACGAGCAGTCCTCGAAAGAGCTCTCTCAGCCCCGCCTACCTCACAGGGTGCCTGTTGTGAGGAGGGGAAGGGAAAGGAGGTTGTAAGCCGCTCTGAGACTCCAAGTGAAGGGCGGGGTACAAATTCAATCTCTTCTTCTTTCTCTTCGTCTTGCAGCAACAAAAAGTTACGCAGCTCAGGGGTCTGTAATGCGGTGGAACCCAGGCCCTTTGGATCAGTGTAAACTCCGCTGGGTTGGCAGCAGGAGCAGGGCGTTGGCTCACGTTATCCCCCGGGGCTGCATGGATTTCGTTTGTGCAATCTCCCACAAACTCCAGCATCAGTTTGGTCCACGTATGTCCTTATGCACGCACTCCAGAGAAACCAAGCCACAATTCTCCGTATCTCCGATTCTGTGGCCAGTATCCAAAGGAATGTGAAATGAAGGCAACTTCAGACTTTTCTTATACAGCATTGCCACCACGTTATACGGCAAGCTGGTTTTTAAACTGATAGAGGTTTAAGGAGTGGTTTCTTAAAAAAAGAAATACGGCATGGATGTCCCCCGCTCACATTAAAAAAAAAAAAAGTTTAGAATTCTGTCCAGTTAGTACAAGCCCCTTGCGTGAGTTGAGGCAGCTCTGTGGATCCAAGCCTGTGTAACTCAAGTATTAAAGCATAATCGTATGTGATCTTGAGTGGTTTGTAACCTTGTTTTGTAACCGTTAATAAGGTTTCAACACTATGCTGTGGTATTTTACTGTTTCAATTACGTGCGCGTGTATGTGTTTGAAGCTATGTAAATGCAAGCCTTCAGAGCATGTAGAACTTCATTAACTCAGGGATAATGGTCTTAAGGTGAAGCATCTTAAAATACGTTTGTAGTCTTCTTCTTCTTTTTTTAATGGTTAATCCAGAAATTTACAGCTGTGTAGTGCAGGTATTCCCACGTTTCACTGTAGCTCTGAGCAGTGGAGTCTGTTGTTTGAGCCAGTTTGGTGCAGTGGTTAAGAGCGGAGGACTCTAATCGGGGAGAACCGGGTTTGGTTCCCCACTCCTCCACACGCAGCCAGCTGGGTGACCTTGGGTCAGTCACAAGTTCTTTCAGAGCTGTTCTCTCAAGAGCAGTTTTCTCAGATCTCTCTCAGCTCCACCTACCCCCACAGGCAGTGTTCCCTCTAAGCTGAGTTAGGGTGAGCTAGCTCACAGTTTTTTAGCCTCCAGCTCACACATTTTTGTCTCAGCTCAGGAAGGATGGCTCCAGAGCAAACTAATTTATGCAGAAGCCAAATCCCTCGCTCACGACTTTAATTCCAGTAGCTCACAAAGTAGAATTTTTGTTCACAAGACTCCTCAGCTTAGAGGGAATATTGCCCCCACCCCCCAAATCTCCAGGTATTTCTTAACCCAGAATTGGCAACCCTCGGCAAGCCATGTTTAAATTTAAGTATAAAGTATAGTTTTTGCTCACAAGACTCCACAGCTTAGAGGGAGCATTGCTCACAGGGTGTCTGTTGTGGGGAAAGGAAAGGAAGGCATTAGTAAGCCGCTCTGAGACTCCTTTGGATAGTGAAGGGCGGGGTATAAATCCAGCTCCTCCTCCTCTTTCTGATATATACCTGCATATTTTAACGGTAGTTTCAGAGAACCTGGAAATTCACCATGCCATTTATCTGCTCTTAGAGGTAATGTTTAGGTGCAATTTACTGGGAAGCAAGCTTATGTATTGGTGATCTGGGGCAGGTAGCATTCATGAGCATCCAAGTAGCAAATCTGACCTGCCTACAAGGGGCATCGCTGTGTGTGTTCTTGTTCTCTGGAGAACTCCCATGTGTGGGCAGTGTGGCACTGTGTCACATGAACATTGTGACTGGGTAGCTGCATGAAAGGGCTGTCCTTTAAGGGCAGACCAGCGGTCCCCAACATTTCGTGAGCCTGTGGGCCCCTTGGGAATTGTGATGCACCATGGCGGGCACAGCCCCAAAATGGCTGCCGCAGGGGGCAGACCAGTTTCAAAATGGCTGCCACGGGTCTGCTTCAGTCACACTGTGAAGATCCTCGTGCTGTGGTGGCAGCCGCTGCCAAACCAACGTTTTTGGCCCGTTTGGTGTAGCGGTTAAGAACACGGACTCTAATCTGGGAGAACCGGGTTCGACTCCCCACTCCTCCACATGCAGCTGCCGGGGTGACCTTGGGTCAGTCACAAAGCTCTCTCAGAGGTGTTCTCTCCAGAGCAGTCCTCGAGAGAGAGCTCTCCCAGTCCCACCTACCTCACAGGGTGTATGTTGTGGGGAGGGGGAGGGAAAGGAGATTGTAAGCCGCTCTGAGTGAAGGGCAGGGTATGAATCTAATCTCCTCTTCTTCGTCGTCTTTAAAACTCTACACAGCCAGACAGAACCTTTGCTGGGGAAAGCCCCACCCACTTCCTAAAAACCCTTGGTGGGAGCCAGGAAAAGTGTTGGTGGGAACCATAGTGCCCAGGGCCGGCCTGAGGTGAGGCTGCGCCCTAGGTGAGGCTGCAGATGCCAACCTCCCAGTGGGGCCTGGAGACTGCCCCACCGGGAGCCCAGTGGCGGGGGGGGGGGGAAGCACCAGGGCGCCGGCGGTGCGGCCTCAAATTTGCGCACTGGGGGGGGGGGAGGATTGTGTGAATCAGCCAGCCAGCCAGCCCTCCACCTCGGGCTTGCCTGGGCTATCCAAGTCACGGCAGAGTTGTGTTGGCTGAGGATCATAAAAACCTCCGTAGCTTCCTAGTGACAGCCTGCCCTTGTTACACCTAGTGCCACCTCTTTCCTCGAGCTATCTTTTTTTTTTTACATTCAGCTGCGCCGATGGGAAGAGCCAGTAAAATTCACCGCAGTAACAGAAGGCCGGAGCTTAACGAATGGCCGTTGAGCGGCTTATCCTTGCCCTTGGTCAGGACCGGAGAGCTGCTTAACAAGCCCCCACGTAACTGCAAAGCTTTTCGCGGAGGTGGGCAGGTCATCTGCATGGTTTTGCAGTCATAAAATGCTTGCCTATTAGATATTCTTCCATGTTGTGGTAAATCCCGGGAAGGGCACTTGCTTCCCGCCAAGCGTGCGACAAAGTTATTTTCTGATCAAGGGAATTCCAGGCGAATCGAAAGAGGTTTTACACATGCGAGCTGGACTTGTTGCTGTCACTCCCTCGCTGCAGATTTTGAGTGATATGCAAAACAGAGCCACACTCTCCTGAGTTAATTTAAGTTACGGGGCTTAAAAGGGTAAAGCGACTCTGCTTAGGCGGACGCTGTTCACCGTTCCCTGCAGCCCGATTACCCCAGTTTGGCCAAAGCTCCTCCAGGCTTGGGAGTGAAGCACAGTCAGCAGAACAATTCGTTCTTGGCTGGGAGACAACCAAGGAACCAAGGTTGCCACCTCTGCTCCTCTTCATGCCTCTTAGGCCAGTCACATGCTCTCAGCCTAACCTACCTCGCAGGGTTGTTCTGTTGCCAGACGCCTGGTTGGGGGAATTCCAAAAACAACATCCGTGACAAAAATAACGAAGAGTCAATAAAGATAAGTCGCAAAAACGTTCACTGTAGTAATTCTGTAGAAAATCTTCTATTATCGCTCACACGCAACGAATGCTGTGCCATGCAAACAATTCGTTTCACAATATCTGCTTTATCTGAGCGTGGAGCAATCCCAGTTCGGACGTCATCGCATCGCCAACATCGGGGGCTGACGCTCTAGTTTTTGGGCAAACTCTGTGGTTTTGAAGTGAAAAAACCATGGAGTTTTGCCCAAAAACTAGTTGCTAATTGCTACCAGCCACCTTCGTTATTTTTGTCACAGATGTTGTTTTTGGAATTCCACTTCCTCCCGTGATCTCTCAATTTTAGACCCCTGTTTAGGGCATGTTTTCCCTTGATTTCCGGGGCTCCAGCCTGCTGCTGGCCTGCTGGCCAGCAGGGGAAGTCCCACCTCCAAACAGGCACGTCGCTGTGTGACGTCCCTGTCACGATGATGTCACCCAGAAGTGACATCATCGCATCGCTAACATCGGGGGCTGACGCTCTAGTTTTTGGGCAAACTCTGTGGTTTTGAAGTGAAAAAACCATGGAGTTTTGCCCAAAAACTAGAGCGTCACCTCCCGACGTCGGCAATGTGACAACGTCACTTCCGGGTGACATCATTACACTGTACGCACGAAGCACGTGCAGCAGAAGATCCCGAAAAGGGACGATGACTCCCCCTCTCTGCAAGAGGTAGGGCCTGACAACCCTAGTTCTGAAGATAAAATGCAGGAGAGGGGAACGATGTAAGCCGCTTTGCGTCCCCACCGGGGAGAAAGACAGGCTACAAATGGATTAAATAAATAAATGCAACACAGTACAGCCAGCCAGGGGCCGCGGTGGCTTAGAGGTTAAGACGCTGAGCTGCAGACTGGAAAGTGGTAGCTCGGCAGTTCGAGACCCAAGTGCCACATGACGGAGTGAGTTCCCGTCTCTGGCCCCAGCTCCTGCCAACCGAGCAGTTCGAAAGCAAGACATTGCAAGTAGATAAACAGGTACCGCTTCGGTGGGAAGGTAACAGCGTTCCGTGCGCCTCGGCGTTTAGTCATGCAGGCCACATGACCACGGAAACATTTTTGGACAGTGCTGTCTCTTCAGCTTGGAAACAGATAAGCACCGCCCCCTAGAGTCAGATTTGACTGGCTTTCGAGGAAGGGAAACCTTTACCTTTATAGCCAGGCAAACCAATGTTGTATGGATTTTTTGTTTGTTTGTTTTTCTGCTTCTTGATGTGTCAGAGTAGGCTTGCCCATCAGGTCATCGAAATGGTAAACTGGCTCATTTCCCATTATTTCGATGCGGTCCTGTAAAAAGACGAGACTGACTATCAGTGTGTGCTAGACCAGCTATCAGTGTGCGCTAGATAGCGGCTAGGTAAAAAGGAGCCTGGAATCTCTAC